AGTCTATTATTAAAAAGTAAATCTTATAAATATGATCTTAATAAATTTAATTATAAAAAAATAGAGGATAAAGTAATAATTTTAAAAAAAATAATATCCTCATTGTGAAACTTTATTTAAGACCTGGGATTGGGTTCAGAAATTCAGAAAGTATATAAACAAGAAGTTGGAAATTAATTTAAAATATGAACTCTAAAAATTTATATGAAATATGAAAGCAAACTCTTCTAAAAAATTATGGGAAAGTAGTAGACATAATGAGTTTCATAGACCTGCAGGTACCATTTATACGGCCTGACCCGGATTATTTTTTAAAATTTTTCGGCCCTGATTTATTTTTCAAAAATTATTTTCGGCCCGGCCCGGTCTAGTTAAAAATTTTTAGGCCCGGCCCGGATTTTTTTAAAATATTTTATTTTTGATTTTTATAGCTAATAATGATGATTTCAAATTTGGTTTTAATATATATGGCGGCTCGGCCTGGATATATTTTTTTAAAACATTTTAAGGCCCGGCCCGGGTATATTTAAAAAAAATTAGCTGGGCTTAGGGTATGACCTGCAAGTCTCTGATAAATTTTCAAGAATTTTTAAAGGCCATTATGGAACAGATATATTCGGCAATTATTTTAGAATAATTAATATATTTAGTTAATATATCATTAGGAATTATTTTGGTTTCATTTTTAAAGTTAAAATTATTTTGACAAATATATTAGATCATTTAAACTATTAATAGATTAACAAGCATAATTAATTCTAACCTTAATATGCAAGGATCACAAAATAGACCTATTAAAAAATATTTCTTATTTTAATATTGTCCACTTAATTTTTAAAATATTTACCTTATTTAAAGACATAACAAATTTCGATCTTATCAACAAATAATCTTAAAAATGCTAATCCACTTTATTAATTATATTTTCTTTTTTAATAGATATTATTTTTTTCCACAGATTTTAATTATTAAAAAAAAAATTTCTATAAAATTTTAATCTCTACAATTTTTTTTTTCGTAGCCCATTAAAAATTACTAAAAAACATTCGCAAAGCTATATTATCATTGTATTTTATTTAATAAACTTTTGCATAAATTATAGAGAAGAGGTTTTAAGAATTATTTATTTATTAAGTTTTTTTCCGATATTATGGTAGTATAAATATATGGAGATTTAAAGATATTCATATTTTTATGAAAATATTGATTAATTAATGAAACTTAAGCCTTGTAACACTGGCTTTAATGTTTTTCGCAAGTTAGTAGCTAATTTAAGTAAAATATAATATATAGATATTAAATGATTTAAAAAATCTAAATCAACTAATATTTTTGAAAAAAAAATTATTAATCATTTTAATTTTTATTTTAATATGTATTCTGTAAAATTTACATTAACTAGTTTTTTTTTCAATTCTCAAGATAATGTGCCAATAAAATATATAAAGGGAAATTTTAAAGCATAAGAGTTTTTTATGCGATAGATTTTTCATGTCTTCTAGGTTTAAAACTATTGATTTTCCATGTTTCCCTTAAAATAACGAAAAAAAACTTCTCGGAATCAATTAAGGATATTAAAACTATTGCAATTGCATTTAAAATTCTTCCTTTTTGATGTTATTTTATCTAGCTTTCCAATTGCTATTTAGTAATAGTAAATAGATTACATTTATAAGTAGAGGAGATAAAATTAAAAAATCAATATTTAATTAGTTTATAACCATTTTTTTTTAAATTCTAAATTGGCATAAAATGCGATATAGGTAAAGAAATAAAAGCCTGAATGGCTTTATTTATAAAAAAAATATTCAATAAAAAATCTTAATTTTTTCTAAATAAAAAAATTTATGATGTTAAACGACCCCGATTTGCGTCGATTTCAATATTTTACCCAGAAGTATCTTGCCTAAGCCTTGAGATATTATTCAATAGATGCCCAAACCTTTGTTCCAGCTATGAGCAAAATCTTCAGGCTCGCGTATAATTATTTTCTGGATAAAATATTGATTTAGCCGTAATCGCTCAAATCGAGCTATTTAACAACACTAAATTTAACGTTTAAAAAATAATTTTAAAAAAATTTAAATCAAAAGTAAAAATCTTTTTATTCTATTTTTATCTGCTTTTTTCTTTAAATAAAAAATTTCTTCATTTTAAAAGCAAATAAATAATAAATAAATAAATCAAAACTTGCATACGTAATTTTTATTTTATCGACAAATATGAAAAATATGAGTTGGCTCAACTGAATGTGAATAAATTTTCCAATTCTGTATATTGTTGGTTCCATTATTCTCAAAGTGATAATATGTTTGGAATGATAAAGGATTTTCGGGTTGAATAATTTTTTTGAAGGCAGTTTAACAAGAAAAATTAACAGCTCATTCGCAGTTGATAATTAAATTAAAACCAGTTGACAAACGAATTGAAAATATGATAGATTTCGATATGCAAGATATCAATTGAAATTTTACTCCAAAGCAAAGACGAATTCTGCTTCCTTATAAATCTTATTATTTTTTTGTATCACTTCTAGGGATAAATTTTTAAATTCTGCATTGGCTGCTTGGATATCCTTAACTTTACCCAAGGCTGTTTTCATTTTTAACAATCAATCATTTTTTTTTAAAATATTCTCATCAAACTACCCTTTAGAATATATTCAACCATTAAATATTGCCGTAATAGTTATTATGAATGGAATGGGTAAATATTACCAAGTCTTAACCTATGTAACCTCTTATCAGATGAACAATTGAGAGTTGTCATAGGCCATCCAATTAGATGTAATTTAGATCAACCACATTGTTAGAACACACTAAATATCAGTTGATTACAAAGGGAGACATGGTATTAATCGTATATATATAGTCCATGCAAGACATGCAGCGATTAATTTTATTATCCGATCACTTCGAAAACAAAACATCCTGAAGCCTGCAATTTATGATCAGAAGGTGGCCTTAAGGCGAGATGGTTTAACTTCTGTACCTTGGTCTTTAGGAAAATCGGGCTTCACATGCGTCACTTCATTTCCAAAAAATGTAAATTCTAATCCAATTGATATAGATGAGGAAAAAAACTAAATATTCGAAATTAACAATATTTTTTAGCATTTGTTATCCCTTCCCTCATATGTCAAGCGGAATTTTAAGATTTTAAAAAATATCAATAATATAAGAGACTCAGCGATCATATATCATTTGAAAAAAAAGTACGAACATAGCAATAATTGGAGCAGGATTAAAAGATGATAGAATTTGAACAATATATGCAATTTTTTAAAAATAAGTTTTATCTAAGGAGCTTTCTTTCAACAATAGCAGTCATAAATATTATATTAATTTAAAAAAAAAAGATGGATGCATTTTTTATAAATATACATCATATTATTGTTTATCAGAACTTTATATTACTTAAAGCGTCTGAGGCTAAAATAATTTTTATTAAAAGTTTCAAAAAATATAGATGGATTTATAATATGTATTTCTCTATAGATATATCAAATTATTGTTTATCAGAACTTTATATTACTTGAAGCGTCTGGGGTTAAAATAATTTTTATTAAAATGTTATTTGCAATTAAAATTAAATATATTAATTTAAAAAATATAGATGGATTTATAATATGCATTTCTCTATAGATATATCAAATTATTGTTTATCAGAACTTTATATTACTTAAAGCGTCTGAGGCTAAAATAATTTTTATTAAAATGTTATTTATAAAAGAAACAGAGTATTCTGAAATAATTAAGACAGATGGCCAATAAATAGAGGATGAAATGTTCTAGAATTTATTAGAAAGTGTAGGTATTAATATATTACATTAAACTAAGCAGTATGTGGGGAAGGGGGGGAATCCTCGTCTCCACAAGCCAAAAAATCAAATGCCGCTTAAATTATTTTAAAAAAAATTTTGATTCTTAAATTTTATCGCAGATATATTTCTATTTACATTAATTTATCACATTCATAGCAAAGATAAATCGCTATTATTTCTTCTACGTATATATCGATTTCAAATTTTCCTCACGTTATAATCTATAATTTTAAAATATCTACCATATGAAACTTTTTCATTACAAAAGTAAGACATCCTTTAGAGTAAAAACGTTATGTTCAAGCGTTGCGTTATTACAAAATAAAGCCAATAGGTTTAAATTTAAATATTAAGAAAATCAATTATTTTATTTGAACAAAGCTATGTATCATACTCGCTGTGGTTGTAGTTGTTGTGCCTATTATAATATAAATTAAAGTGTTATTAAGACAAAATCATAAAATGAAGAAAACAAAACTAATAAGAATAATTTTTTAAATAAAAATAAATAAAATGTGAAATGTGAGAAAAATTGTATGCTTGATATAAACGTCAGTCAATAGATGAAAAAAAGGAATGTTATTTACTATCGATCTTGTAATGATTTTGTTATAAATTTTTTATATAACCATAAAGGTTGAATTTCAAACATAGAAACTTCTTTATCTCTCAAAATATTCTAATATATTATTTAAAAAAATAATTATTATATGGATGTTCAATTCGGATTTCGTTAACCACCCTTTCTATTAAGAGGACTTTGCTTATTCGAAACAAGACATTGATATATTAATTTTATCTGAGTAATTATGGATTAAAATGGTAGATAGGAGACAGCTGAAGGTGTCATTTTGTGTTTGTTAACAATTGTCAAGTTATGAATGACGTTTTGGGATATATATAACTCACTGGGATTTGTAATCTCTTGATTTTAAATTACTGAGGACTTTTTTTTTAAAAAAAGGATAGAGTACCCTCACTGTAAAATTTAGATAATTTTGCAAAAGATATTTTGAAATATTATAAATTTGCACAAATTATGTGATTAAAAAAATAATAAAATATATAAATCAAGTTAATATTTTTTACAAATTCGATCATGATAGAGATCCGATAAAATTCCGCCAATACCTCCAGGTCTATTTAGATCTAATAGGAAACATCCAGATGAAATTTCTCAAATTCCTTGGAAGAGAGACAAATTTTTATTAAGGGATTACTCATGCATTGATCCGTGCTCCCGTCAATAAACCCTAGAAAATCCTTGAGGAAAAAAGCAATTAAGAATTGCTAAATATTCAGAAATTTTAAAAGACTACATATTCATTCCGATCATTTCCACTACCTTCACAACATTTCGGAATCACGCTTTATCCTTTTTTAAGGGTCTTGGTTCTAACATTCGTAAACTTATGGATAAACCTTGCCAAGACTTATTTTCAAAGCAAAGTATAGTCATTGCTACAAGGTTAATTACATTAGCTTCATGAGTAGTCTCATTCACAATATGCTTGCTTTGAATATTCATATTTGTATTTTTTTATAAAATTATATTCATAAAATTTTTTTTCCTAATATGAATTATAGACAATTCTCATTATTATAATATTCTTCTTTTATATTTCCTTTTTTTTTTAAATTTATGTGATGATCATGTCCTGTTTTAATAAAAATAATATTTATTTTTTAATAAACTGAATAAAAATATATCTTATTTAAATATGCTGCAAATGAGATAAAATTATAAATCAAAATTGATTAAATTTAATTTAAAAAAAAAGAAATTTAAAATGAATTTGAAATTTGATTTAGTATTATTTGCTTATAATGTGTGTATTGGAAAATGTAATTCTCGGCTCGGTTTGAGTAGAGAATTTAAAAAAAGGCTATCTTATAATTTTGCCAGTAAAGTATTATAAGGCTAAAGATTTTGTTCATAGATGACACAACCTTTTTAGGTATAATCTCGAGGTTTAGCAATATTAATCTTGCTAAAATATTTAATTCGTCGTTAAAAATCTAAATTAACGTATTAGGATAAATAAAACTATTAAATCAATTTTATTTTTATTTTATCCAGGCCATTTTTATAAATCGACCCAAATTACCAATACTAATTTTAGGTATTCTATCAAATTTTTTCAAAGTTTAACAAACCTAAACTAAATTTCTTTAAATATTCAAGATAATGTACCAAAATTATTTTTTTTTTGTTAAATATTTCAAGTCTTATATTTTAGATAAAAACTTTTATACACGTTTCTATGCAGCAAATTTCTCTCAATCAATTAAAAAAAATAAGATTTATTGCAATTGCAATCAAATAAATATTACCTCCTGTTAGTGGTGCATCTGATTTTTTTTAATAATAAATAAATTATACTTTAGGTATAGAGAGAGATAAAATATTAAAAATAAATATTTACTTGTGATCATATTTTTTAAATTCAAAATGTGCATTAAACGAGATAGGTAAAGAAATAAAAGTCTGATTATAATTTATAAATGAAAAATCCCAATTAGAATAAAATTTATTTAATTTTACATTAAAAAAAAGGAATTTTAATAAAAAATAAATGTTAATAAAAAATAATTGTTAATAACATTCTTAATATAAAAAGTGCTTTAAAATTATAAAAAATTTAAATATCTTTTATATATATTTATATTATAGAAAATAGGGTAGATATTTTAAGAATCCTAGTTAATAAAAGTTTTAGTTATTGATTGTTTCAAAAACAAGTAAAGTAAATTGTAATTACTATTCATAAAAATATGATCAATTTTTTTATAAGAAATTTAATTTATTGGAAAGGAAGATATTGTTATTTTATAAATGGCGAAATTAAAACTTTAGCAAAAAAAATTATTCAAAGTCTGGAAATTTCACTAAAAGATGTCCAAAACCTTTGCTTTTTATAAGCAAAATCTTATGGCTTAGATAATATTATTTTGGTTGGTTAATTGCGAAGAGAAGGTTAATTAATTTTTTTTTATAATAAATTTCCAATCTTAAATCTATCGTGCAAATGAGTCAAAAGAAAAAAACAAAATATATTGAAATCAATTTGAAAATTTAAGGATTCAAAATCAATAAGATTGGCTTAAGGGATTGTTTATAATGTGTATTTGATAATGTCATGCATAATTATTTATAATTTAAATAAATTTTAATACTTTCTACAGTGTCATTTCCCATATTTGGGTCTTAATTTTTGTAAAATAAAATATACCGATATTAAATGATTTAAAAAGTATAAAACCTATATTTTTGAAATGATCATTTTAATATTAATTTCATGTATCATATAGATTTTATTTAAGGTTTAACAAATTTGAAATTTTCAATATTAAAGATAAAGAGGCAATAAATAATATAAAGAGAATGAGTTATTTTATAAGATAAATATTTCAAGTCTTTTTCCTAGGCTATAAACTTTTGAATTTTCATGAATTTATTTGTTCAATTTAAGAAATGAAATTATACCAATACAATGTGCTATTTATTTATTTCATTTTTTTTTATAGTTGCTTATTGGTAATAATAAATAGAATACACTTATAAGTAGAGGTGAGAGATAATTAAGAAATAAATATTAACTTAGTTAAAACCATATTTTTAAATTCGATATTCGCATAAAATAGTTTTGATAAAAGTATCAAATAAAATATATTTATATAAAAATTATTTTAAATCTAAAAATTGATAACAATTCAAAATTTAATTCTGAATATCTTTCAATTTATATTAAAAGGAATTAAAAAATAGGATACATATTTAAAGAATCCACAATTATAGATTTCGCTAAGATATTAATTGTTTCTAAAACAGAGAAAGGATATTGAATATATTTTAAAAGATTAGCGCATTTTTGTATAAATATTTTTTATATATATTAGAATTGGACTAATGCTTTAAAGATTACGTTTTTAATTATTTCAGAAACAAGTAAAATATATTGTAGTTTATATTTATAAAAATATGACCAATTTTAATTTTATCTATTGGAAACGAAGTTGTTAAAAAGCTAGATTCAGTTGATTTATGAAAATGGCGAAATCAAATTTTAGATAAAATAATATTTCAAAGTCTAGAAAATTTACTAATATATGTCCAAACCTTTTGCCCTCTATAAGCCAAACCACATGGTTTTTATAATAATATTTTGGTTAAAGTCTGAGAAGAGAAAGTAAATTATTTATTTTACAATTTAAAATTATACTTTAAAAAATTTTTACCAATTTTAATTATTAAAAAATTTATACTAAATTTCCAATAAATATATATTAATAAAATAACAATCTTTATATAAAAAGTGCTTTAAATTTACAAATAAAAAATTTCTATATCTTTTATATATTTATATTATAGAAAATAGGGTAGATAAGAATCCCTAATTAATAAAAGATTTGTTATTAATTGTTTCAGAAACAAGTAATATAATGTAGTTTATATTCATAAAAATATATGAAAGAAATTTTATTTATTGGAAAGGTAATTGTTAAGTTACAATTTTGAAAATGGTTAAATCAAAACTTTAGCAAAAAATAAATTTCATAGTCTAGAAATTTGACTAATATAAATAGTGATGATCACAACTGGTTTTAATAAAAATAAAATTTATAAAAGAACTAAATTTAATTTTTAATGAACTGAAAAATTGCTATCATTCCCGGTAATTTCCACTAGAAACATTTCGGAATCGCGCTTTATCCATATTTAAGGATCTTGGATCTCACTTTCGTAAACTTACAGATAAACGAAGGCTTCTTCTCAAAGCAAAATAAAGTCATTGACATAGCTAATTACATTAGCTTCATGAGTAGCCTCATTCACAGGATGATTATTTTGAATATTAATATTGTATTTTCTTTTTTTGAATTATATGTATTAAAAATTTTTATCCCAATATGAATTATAGACATTTTTTATTATTATAAAATTCAACTTTTATAATTTATTTTTTCAATTTATATGATGATCATGTCTGGTTTTAATAAAAATATTATTTATAAAAGAAATTTAACCAAGTTTAATTTTTAATGAACTGAATAAAAATATTTCTTATTTAAATACACTTGCAAATGATAAAATAAAAAATCAAATTGATTGAATTTAATTTTTTAAAAAAGAAGAGATTTATTTGATATTTGATTCAGTATTATTTGCTTATAATTTGTGTATTGGAAAATGTAATTAGTCTCGGGTCGATTTGAATAAAAGATTTTTAAAAACTCATCTCATAATTTGCCAGAAAAGTATTACAAGGTTAGAGATTTCGGTCATAGATGACACAACGGTTTGGTTGGACATCTTGGGGGTCGAATTTCGTGGCTATGGAAATTATTCTGGCTAAAGTATTACGTTAGTCATTTTTAAAAATGTCTCAAATCGAGCCATTTAGGGACATTCAATATAAAATCATTTCTACTTTCAACAAATTGTATGAGTCTTTACTAATTATCATTATATTTAAAAAGCTATATTATCATTGTATTTTATTTAATAAACTTTTGCATAAATTATAGAGAAGATGTTTTCAGAATTATTTATTTATTAAGTTTTGTTCCGATATTAAGATGGTATAAATATATGGAGATTTAAAAATATTCATATTTTTATGAAAATATTGATTAATTAATGAAATTTAAGCCTTGTAACACTGGCTTTAATGTTATTTCGCAAGTTAGTGGCTAATTTAAGTAAAATATAATATATAGATATTAAATAATTTAAAAAATCTAAATCAACTAATATTTTTGAAAAAAAACTATTAATCAATTTAGTTTTTATTTTAATATGTATTCTGTATAATTTTTTTAAAGTTTAACAAACATTAACTAGTTTTTTTTCAATACTCAAGATAATGTGCCAATAAAATATATAAAGGGAAATTTTAAAGCATAAGAGTTTTTTATGCGATAGATTTTTCATGTCTTTTTCTTAGGTTTAAAAATTGATTTTCCATGTTTCCCTTAAATAACGAAAACAAACTTCTCGGAATCAATTAAGGATATTAAAACTATTGCAATTGCATTTAAAATTCTTCCTTTTTGATGTTATTTTATCTAGCTTTCCAATTGCTATTTAGTAATAATAAATAGATTACATTTATAAGTAGAGGAGATAAAATTAAAAAATCAATATTTAATTAGTTTATAACCATTTTTTTAAATTCTAAATTGGCAGAGCGATATAGGTAAAGAAACAGCCTGGATGGCATTTATTTATAAAAAAAATATTCAATGAAAAATATATCCTTAATTTTTTTCTCAATAAAAAAATTTATGATGTTAAACAACCCCGATTTGCATCGATTTCAATATTTTACCCAGAAGTATCTTGCCTAAGCCTTGAGATTTTATCCAATAGATGCCCAAACCTTTGTTCCATCTATGAGCAAAATCTTTAGGCTTGCTTATAATATTTTTCTGGATAAAATATTGATTTAACTAATCGGCTCAAATCGAGCTATCTAACAACACTAAATTTAACGTTTAAAAATAATTTAAAATAAATGGCTAATTTTTTTTAATAAATAAAAAGTAAAAATCTTTTTATTATATTTTTATCTGTTTCTTTCTTTAAATAAAAAATTTCTTCATTTTAAAAGCAAATAAATAATAAATAAATAAATCAAAACTTGCATACGTAATTTTTATTTTATCGACAAATATGAAAAATATGAGTTGGCTCAACTGAATGTGAATAAATTTTCCAATTCTGTATATTGTTGGTTCCATTATTCTCAAAGTGATAATATGTTTGGAATGATAAAGGATTTTCGGGTTGAATAATTTTTTTGAAGGCAGTTTAACAAGAAAAATTAACAGCTCATTCGCAGTTGATAATTAAATTAAAACCAGTTGACAAACGAATTGAAAATATGATAGATTTCGATATGCAAGATATCAATTGAAATTTTACTCCAAAGCAAAGACGAATTCTGCTTCCTTATAAATCTTATTATTTTTTTGTATCACTTCTAGGGATAAATTTTTAAATTCTGCATTGGCTGCTTGGATATCCTTAACTTTACCCAAGGCTGTTTTCATTTTTAACAATCAATCATTTTTTTTTAAAATATTCTCATCAAACTACCCTTTAGAATATATTCAACCATTAAATATTGCCGTAATAGTTATTATGAATGGAATGGGTAAATATTACCAAGTCTTAACCTATGTAACCTCTTATCAGATGAACAATTGAGAGTTGTCATAGGCCATCCAATTAGATGTAATTTAGATCAACCACATTGTTAGAACACACTAAATATCAGTTGATTACAAAGGGAGACATGGTATTAATCGTATATATATAGTCCATGCAAGACATGCAGCGATTAATTTTATTATCCGATCACTTCGAAAACAAAACATCCTGAAGCCTGCAATTTATGATCAGAAGGTGGCCTTAAGGCGAGATGGTTTAACTTCTGTACCTTGGTCTTTAGGAAAATCGGGCTTCACATGCGTCACTTCATTTCCAAAAAATGTAAATTCTAATCCAATTGATATAGATGAGGAAAAAAACTAAATATTCGAAATTAACAATATTTTTTAGCATTTGTTATCCCTTCCCTCATATGTCAAGCGGAATTTTAAGATTTTAAAAAATATCAATAATATAAGAGACTCAGCGATCATATATCATTTGAAAAAAAAGTACGAACATAGCAATAATTGGAGCAGGATTAAAAGATGATAGAATTTGAACAATATATGCAATTTTTTAAAAATAAGTTTTATCTAAGGAGCTTTCTTTCAACAATAGCAGTCATAAATATTATATTAATTTAAAAAAAAAAGATGGATGCATTTTTTATAAATATACATCATATTATTGTTTATCAGAACTTTATATTACTTAAAGCGTCTGAGGCTAAAATAATTTTTATTAAAAGTTTCAAAAAATATAGATGGATTTATAATATGTATTTCTCTATAGATATATCAAATTATTGTTTATCAGAACTTTATATTACTTGAAGCGTCTGGGGTTAAAATAATTTTTATTAAAATGTTATTTGCAATTAAAATTAAATATATTAATTTAAAAAATATAGATGGATTTATAATATGCATTTCTCTATAGATATATCAAATTATTGTTTATCAGAACTTTATATTACTTAAAGCGTCTGAGGCTAAAATAATTTTTATTAAAATGTTATTTATAAAAGAAACAGAGTATTCTGAAATAATTAAGACAGATGGCCAATAAATAGAGGATGAAATGTTCTAGAATTTATTAGAAAGTGTAGGTATTAATATATTACATTAAACTAAGCAGTATGTGGGGAAGGGGGGGAATCCTCGTCTCCACAAGCCAAAAAATCAAATGCCGCTTAAATTATTTTAAAAAAAATTTTGATTCTTAAATTTTATCGCAGATATATTTCTATTTACATTAATTTATCACATTCATAGCAAAGATAAATCGCTATTATTTCTTCTACGTATATATCGATTTCAAATTTTCCTCACGTTATAATCTATAATTTTAAAATATCTACCATATGAAACTTTTTCATTACAAAAGTAAGACATCCTTTAGAGTAAAAACGTTATGTTCAAGCGTTGCGTTATTACAAAATAAAGCCAATAGGTTTAAATTTAAATATTAAGAAAATCAATTATTTTATTTGAACAAAGCTATGTATCATACTCGCTGTGGTTGTAGTTGTTGTGCCTATTATAATATAAATTAAAGTGTTATTAAGACAAAATCATAAAATGAAGAAAACAAAACTAATAAGAATAATTTTTTAAATAAAAATAAATAAAATGTGAAATGTGAGAAAAATTGTATGCTTGATATAAACGTCAGTCAATAGATGAAAAAAAGGAATGTTATTTACTATCGATCTTGTAATGATTTTGTTATAAATTTTTTATATAACCATAAAGGTTGAATTTCAAACATAGAAACTTCTTTATCTCTCAAAATATTCTAATATATTATTTAAAAAAATAATTATTATATGGATGTTCAATTCGGATTTCGTTAACCACCCTTTCTATTAAGAGGACTTTGCTTATTCGAAACAAGACATTGATATATTAATTTTATCTGAGTAATTATGGATTAAAATGGTAGATAGGAGACAGCTGAAGGTGTCATTTTGTGTTTGTTAACAATTGTCAAGTTATGAATGACGTTTTGGGATATATATAACTCACTGGGATTTGTAATCTCTTGATTTTAAATTACTGAGGACTTTTTTTTTAAAAAAAGGATAGAGTACCCTCACTGTAAAATTTAGATAATTTTGCAAAAGATATTTTGAAATATTATAAATTTGCACAAATTATGTGATTAAAAAAATAATAAAATATATAAATCAAGTTAATATTTTTTACAAATTCGATCATGATAGAGATCCGATAAAATTCCGCCAATACCTCCAGGTCTATTTAGATCTAATAGGAAACATCCAGATGAAATTTCTCAAATTCCTTGGAAGAGAGACAAATTTTTATTAAGGGATTACTCATGCATTGATCCGTGCTCCCGTCAATAAACCCTAGAAAATCCTTGAGGAAAAAAGCAATTAAGAATTGCTAAATATTCAGAAATTTTAAAAGACTACATATTCATTCCGATCATTTCCACTACCTTCACAACATTTCGGAATCACGCTTTATCCTTTTTTAAGGGTCTTGGTTCTAACATTCGTAAACTTATGGATAAACCTTGCCAAGACTTATTTTCAAAGCAAAGTATAGTCATTGCTACAAGGTTAATTACATTAGCTTCATGAGTAGTCTCATTCACAATATGCTTGCTTTGAATATTCATATTTGTATTTTTTTATAAAATTATATTCATAAAATTTTTTTTCCTAATATGAATTATAGACAATTCTCATTATTATAATATTCTTCTTTTATATTTCCTTTTTTTTTTAAATTTATGTGATGATCATGTCCTGTTTTAATAAAAATAATATTTATTTTTTAATAAACTGAATAAAAATATATCTTATTTAAATATGCTGCAAATGAGATAAAATTATAAATCAAAATTGATTAAATTTAATTTAAAAAAAAAGAAATTTAAAATGAATTTGAAATTTGATTTAGTATTATTTGCTTATAATGTGTGTATTGGAAAATGTAATTCTCGGCTCGGTTTGAGTAGAGAATTTAAAAAAAGGCTATCTTATAATTTTGCCAGTAAAGTATTATAAGGCTAAAGATTTTGTTCATAGATGACACAACCTTTTTAGGTATAATCTCGAGGTTTAGCAATATTAATCTTGCTAAAATATTTAATTCGTCGTTAAAAATCTAAATTAACGTATTAGGATAAATAAAACTATTAAATCAATTTTATTTTTATTTTATCCAGGCCATTTTTATAAATCGACCCAAATTACCAATACTAATTTTAGGTATTCTATCAAATTTTTTCAAAGTTTAACAAACCTAAACTAAATTTCTTTAAATATTCAAGATAATGTACCAAAATTATTTTTTTTTTGTTAAATATTTCAAGTCTTATATTTTAGATAAAAACTTTTATACACGTTTCTATGCAGCAAATTTCTCTCAATCAATTAAAAAAAATAAGATTTATTGCAATTGCAATCAAATAAATATTACCTCCTGTTAGTGGTGCATCTGATTTTTTTTAATAATAAATAAATTATACTTTAGGTATAGAGAGAGATAAAATATTAAAAATAAATATTTACTTGTGATCATATTTTTTAAATTCAAAATGTGCATTAAACGAGATAGGTAAAGAAATAAAAGTCTGATTATAATTTATAAATGAAAAATCCCAATTAGAATAAAATTTATTTAATTTTACATTAAAAAAAAGGAATTTTAATAAAAAATAAATGTTAATAAAAAATAATTGTTAATAACATTCTTAATATAAAAAGTGCTTTAAAATTATAAAAAATTTAAATATCTTTTATATATATTTATATTATAGAAAATAGGGTAGATATTTTAAGAATCCTAGTTAATAAAAGTTTTAGTTATTGATTGTTTCAAAAACAAGTAAAGTAAATTGTAATTACTATTCATAAAAATATGATCAATTTTTTTATAAGAAATTTAATTTATTGGAAAGGAAGATATTGTTATTTTATAAATGGCGAAATTAAAACTTTAGCAAAAAAAATTATTCAAAGTCTGGAAATTTCACTAAAAGATGTCCAAAACCTTTGCTTTTTATAAGCAAAATCTTATGGCTTAGATAATATTATTTTGGTTGGTTAATTGCGAAGAGAAGGTTAATTAATTTTTTTTTATAATAAATTTCCAATCTTAAATCTATCGTGCAAATGAGTCAAAAGAAAAAAACAAAATATATTGAAATCAATTTGAAAATTTAAGGATTCAAAATCAATAAGATTGGCTTAAGGGATTGTTTATAATGTGTATTTGATAATGTCATGCATAATTATTTATAATTTAAATAAATTTTAATACTTTCTACAGTGTCATTTCCCATATTTGGGTCTTAATTTTTGTAAAATAAAATATACCGATATTAAATGATTTAAAAAGTATAAAACCTATATTTTTGAAATGATCATTTTAATATTAATTTCATGTATCATATAGATTTTATTTAAGGTTTAACAAATTTGAAATTTTCAATATTAAAGATAAAGAGGCAATAAATAATATAAAGAGAATGAGTTATTTTATAAGATAAATATTTCAAGTCTTTTTCCTAGGCTATAAACTTTTGAATTTTCATGAATTTATTTGTTCAATTTAAGAAATGAAATTATACCAATACAATGTGCTATTTATTTATTTCATTTTTTTTTATAGTTGCTTATTGGTAATAATAAATAGAATACACTTATAAGTAGAGGTGAGAGATAATTAAGAAATAAATATTAACTTAGTTAAAACCCTGGAAATTTCACTAAAAGATGTCCAAAACCTTTGCTTTTTATAAGCAAAATCTTATGGCTTAGATAATATCATTTTGGTTGAAGTGGTTAATTGAAAGAGAAGATAAATTAATTATTTTAAAAAAAATAAATTAAACCAACTTTAATTTTTTTAAAGAATTAATAATAAATTTCCAATCTTAAATCTATCATGCAAATGAGTCAAAAGAAAAAAACAAATTCCTTTATTTGGGTCTTAATTTTAGTAAGATAAAATATATATTAAATGATTTAAAAAACATAAATTAACCTATATTTTTTGAAATTATCAATTTAATATTAATTTTATGTATCCTATAGATTTTATTTAAGGTTTAATAAATTTGAAAGTTTTTTCATATTAAAGATAAAGTGGCAATAAATAATATAAAGAGAATGAGTTATTTTATAAGATAAATATTTCAAGTCTTTTTCCTAGGCTATAAACTTTTGAATTTTCATGAATTTATTTTTTAAGTAATGGAATTATACCAATACATGAAAATAATGTGCTATTTATTTCTTTCATTTTTTTATAGTTGCTTATTGGTAATAATAAATAGAATACACTTATAAGTTGGTGAGAGATAAAATTTAAAAACAATTAACTTAGTTAAAACATATAATAATATTTTGGTTAAAGTTTGAGTAGAGAAAGTAAATTATTTATTTTACAATTTAAAAATATATTTTAAAAATTCGTATAATTTTTAATTTTTAAAAAATTAATACTAAATTTTATATATATCGTGCAAATATGTCAAAAGAAAAAAACAAAATATATTGAATTCAATTTGAAAATTTAAGAGATTCAAAATCAATATGATTGGCTTAAGGTTTATTGCTTATAATGTGTATTTGAAAATATCATGCATAATTATTTATAATTTCAATAAATTTTAATACCTTCTACTAAGTTAGTTTTTTTAATTGAGTTTAATTTTAGTAAATAAAATATACCGATATTAATTAATCAAAAAACATAAATTTACTTCTTTTTTTTGAAATAATCAATTTAATATTTATTTCATGTATTCTATAGTTTTTCTAGGCTAAAAACTCTTGAAATTTTATGTTTCCCTTAAATAACTAAAACAATTTTTTTGTAAAATTAAAGAAATAATGCAATGAAAATAATGGATTATTTATATATATTAAAAAAAAAAAAGGTAAGTAGAAATAAAATTATTTAACTTCTAACCCTAATATAGGAAAGAGCAGTGACAAGTTGTTATCAAATAATAATATCAATCTAAAAAAGTAAAGAGGATATTTTTTTAATGAAAGAAGTTTAATTTCTTTATTAGCGCCGTTCTTCTAAGGGTAATTCTTATACATAATATGAAAAGCGAGTATTTAAAATAGCCATTTTTGAGTCAATTCAACTGGGACATTTTATAGATCCCATTAAGTAGATGTAACGAAAAGAGGATTTATTTTTGAATTATTAATAGTTAACTTATTTCCTCTTTAAAATATGGAATTATAGTGATAGAAGACTAAGTAAGAACTTTAAAATTATATATTAATTTACTATCTGGTATAGCCACTTTTTGTTGAAAAAAAAGATAAATATTTATAATGCATAGTTATAATCATTTGAATTTTTTAAGTTCTATTCTCTTTTACGTAACAGCCCTAAGATAAAAATTTACAAAAAATATCGAATTGAGTTATAGAAAAGAAAATTAAAAGAATTATAATTGCTTAAAATAGAAAATAAAATAATTTGGCCAAATAAATTGGTCTCTTAGTTTGTAAAATTTATGTATTTATTGAAATTCTGCCGCATAAAGTTAGTGTCCCCACCTCAATAAAAATCGTCTATAATAGTAATATATTTCTTGTTACGAAAAGCATATATCGAATCTTAAGTAATGGTTTGTTTTTCTTGACAAAATTTAAGACTGTTAACGTTACTTAAATGAATGTGTTCAGGTAGGGAATTAATTTTTATTATAATACATATGGAAAGCTAGGAAATATGTGTACAGCGTTTTGCAGGCACGTATATAGGAATTCACTGTAGAGGGGGTTGGGGTGTAAAAATTAATTTTTTTGTATAAATTATTCCAGGAGTAATTTAGGTTTCATTAATATATTAAGTAAACTATAAAATAATGACAATTTCGAAACCCAAATTTAAATATTATAAATAATCGGAGTGAATACTTATTTAATAAATATTCCTCAAATAAACTTTTTAAATAAAATATAAATTTTTTAAACATCTAAAATTATATATCTAAAATTATATTTAAAAATATATTGGAAATATATATTAACAAAAATAATATTAAGAATTATTGTATGTATATAAACTCGTGAAAAAAAGTACGGAGTATTAAAAACAGGAAAAAATATTTAATTACTTATTTTAATATAGAATATAGATGTAATATGCCAATTATAATTTTAATATTCTTTTAACTAGTATTTTCAACATTTTTTTGTTTTATTTTTATAACTGTTCATTGAAGTTTTTTAAAAATAAAAGTGATAATATAGTCTTTATTATCTTAAATCAATATTTGATTCACTACTATTTCATAATATACATGAGTGACCTTTTTAGGACTGGTTCAACAAAAATTACGGATACTGCAAAAAATAAAAACATAGTTTATTCTTCTGGACTATTTATAGCAATGTTTTGTACACCATCTAAAAAGATCCTGGATTAAATAAAATTATGAAATACTAAAAAATGCCCAATATACATCATCCCAGATTCAAAAGCAAGTAATTATGGAAGATATGGTCTTGAAACATCTCAGATTAATATAACAAAAGTTTATGTCGTTTTTTGTCTTAAGGCTGATGAGGCAAAAGATGCATCAGATTTAGAAAACCTGAGCATAATTATTCGGTATATTTTTTCTGGAGAATACAAGAAAATTTAATAGGAATTATTAATTTTCAGTGTATTTCTACTGAAAGCATTGCTGAATGCATTTTAAAGCAACTTAACGAGTTAAATATTATTTCAACGAACATAATAAGCCAGGTATATAATGGTACAAACTTCATGTCTGATCGAAATAGAGGAGTTCAAATCCTTCAAAAAATTAAAAAAGTTTATATTATATGCTACATCCACAAGTTGTATCTTGTGGTAAAATTGGTATAATATTGTTATCATTTCTAATTTTTATGATTTTTCTAATGCATTGTATATTTTTTAGACATTTTAAAGTATCCTGTAAATATACAGGTTATATCTTATGAGACTTTTAGAACAGAGCTGGTCATTTAAAAACATCTCGTATCATTTATGAGAATTTTGTATTGGTGAAGTATTATTTTAATTTTCAAATAGAACTCTTAATTTAGAAGTTTCCACTCATGTTTCAGTCGAAGTCTCTGGTCTTTTATCTCATTGCGTTAATATAAATTACGTTATATTAGCCATTATAATTCATGAGATATAATAACAATAGATCCACTTAATAAGTAAATACAGTCAGTAGGTATTAATCTAGTGGATACTAAAAATTGTATTGATTCCACTGTCAATATAATAAAAAAATAAAAGAAGCGATAATTCTTTTGATTTAAAGAATTAAGGTTTGAAGAACCTTTAGCAAAATTTAATTTCTCTCCAGAAATCATCAGGGATACGTAAAACGCCTATAAATTTTCAAGATTTTTTAGTCGAATCCAAATTAAAATTTGATTGTGAAAAAGACTCCAATTTGAGTTCTAAAAGGAATTATTATA